GTGCGTAGTAACATAGCAGCAATTCAGGTCCTGGGCTAGGATCCCCGAAATTCTCACACAGGACCAGAGGGGACATGTATCATAATTTTCACTGCAGGAGATTAAGAATCAGTCTGTGTGTTTATCACTGGGAGAGATAAAAGGTACAATGTGAGCGTATGAGAGCAACATGGATGATTTGCTGATTCCTAGTGAGGAAGGTACAAAAGTGAATTCAGAAAAAAAGAATCGTATTGATCACCAATGTTATTATGTATTAGCCACGTACAATAGATGATGATGATGATGATTGATAGATAGATAGATAGATAATAGATAGATAGATAGATAGATGATAGATAGATAGAAAATGTATGTATGCTCAACTTCACTAGTTTTGCACGAAGACATGTAAACAAAAAGATGAAAAATAAACACGTATTGGTGGCTGCCTATAGGCTGAGCAGGAGAGTGGGAGGAACTATGAGGGTGAAACGATGAGTAAATGAATGAATGAATAACAGAAGAGCCATGTAAGAACTGATGATGATAATAATAATAATATGACATCAGTTGAGGAATCTAAACAAATGTAAAGCTTTTAAATATCAAGACACACACACACACACACACACACACACACCCACACGCACACACGCACATGCGCACACACACGCACGCACACACACGCACTGATTGACCTGTTCTGGTTCGATTGACTGTCTGGGTGACGAGACCCCATCAGATGTGCATTTTAGCTTTGAATGCGGTAACCGTTTGAACTACAGTTGCCGGGCTGTTGCACGGGAGACAGCTCGGTGGAGGACTGAGGGTCACACATTTTCTTTTCCGCTGCCTGCCCTGCGGCCGCTGCCATCGAATCTGAATGACCTTGACCTGAACTTGTTCAACCGACCGTGAGAACAGTGGCGAGCTCGCCGTCAGTGTTTCGTCTTCGGTCAAATCAACAGCACAATCTCCATGCACGAAGCGAGGCGCAGTTTTCAGTTCTACGGCTCATTTTCTTCTTGGGGACAAGAACGATTCATTTTCCCTCAGGGACCTGAACCCACGATCCCCAAATGAGACACCTCGGGGGGCTTCTGAAGGTTTTGGCCCGAAGTGCCGACCAGCACAGCCGGTCCACGGCAGCGAGTGGCTTAAGTCCCACTGGCCAGAGTCGCTTTTTCATTGTACCATCTTCCCCGAATGTATTTCTCATAATTCCAAACGTCTCTTTGGAACGATAGATGTGACACAAAAGGAAGCCCTCAGAGTCCAGAGGAGACCCTTGTGGGCCGTGGGTGGGTGGCCGTCACCGGGTGACCACCGTGAACTCTGGACACCGCCTGAAAAATAGCTCCCAGAATGCACTGGGGCATGAGCCAATGCAGGCAGAGACTTGGGGGGGCCGGAAGAAAGGGACCGTCCCTTCCAAAGCTGACTCAGAGCTGTGAGGTGGCCAACGCTCAGACAGGCCCCGCCACCTCACGGGCTCGAAGAACCTAAACAAAGCACCCGGAGCTCAAGGTCACTCAGCCGGGAAAGGAGGTGTCACCCCCTGGGGCGGAAATGCCGCAGAGAAGGGGCCTCGAGTCCGACGGGGCCGGACGTGCGTCAACTGTGCCCCGTGTCTAACTCGCCCTGAATCGCGCACGTGGGGCGATCGGCCCCACCAGCCCGACGCGGGTTAGGGAGCCGCCTGCCGTTCCGGCGCCTGCCCACCGCGGAGGGACAGAGCTCCAGGTTTCTCCTCAGTCAAGTTAACTGGCTAAACAAACAAACAAACAAACAAACAAGCAAATAAATAAATAAAAACCACTACGTGGTTCCACAGGGTAGCGGTCAGCACGCCTGCTTCCCACGCAGAAGGTCCTGGGTTCGCGCCCCAGTGGAGCCACGGCCCATGGTCTCCGGCCACGCCGCCCTGAACACGCCCGATCCCCTCGGATCTCGGAAGCTAAGCAGGGTCGGGCCTGGTTAGTACTTGGATGGGAGACCACCTAGGAAGACCGGGTGCTGTAGGCGTAAATAATAATAATAAGTAAAATAAAATAAATAAATAACGCCCTAATTTAACGGAAGCCACGGTCTCAGCAACGTAAAACAGAAATAGCCAGGAAAGAATTCAAAGTTATTAAATGTAAAAGAAACAGGAAAAAATGTCCCATGCCCAACGGAAAACAGGATCGATACAAAATGACCCCAAAAGGAGTCAGGCCCTGGTTTCCGCCTGCGAGGGTTTCAGAGCAGCTATTGTGGCCTTGAGAAAGGGCGTAAAGGAAAAAATATATTGATTTGTAATCAAAAAGTTGTAAAAAAATAAAACTAAGAGTAAATCTTAGCTGAGACATTGAAACCGAAAGAACCAAGTAGAATTTCTAAAACTGGCAAAGATAAGACACGCGATAAATGACCGTGCGAGGTCAACGGCAGGTTGGACGTCACAGAGGAGCCAGTGACCTTAAGGCGACAGCGGCGGCAAGTCCCGCGGAGGAACAGGCTGACCCGCGCCGGGGCCGGGGCCGGGGCCGGGGCCGGGGCCGGAGGAGAGTGGGCTGCCAGGCTCCCGCCGAGTCCGGACACAGGGTCAGCCCGATCCTGTGAAAAGCCCAGCGACGTGCACATAGGTGTAGACACGACGCCCCTAACGTACGCGGGAAGCAAATGAACGAGGCACGTTGAAACGATCCGGAAAAGACCCCCAGGGAGGGATCCGCTTTCCCAGCTTTAATCATCGTGTCGCTCCGGAAAGTGTGACCAAGAGGTACCGACTGAGGGACAGACAATTGATGGCACGGATCAGGGAAACCATGGGCACGCGGCGAGCGAGCGTGACAACGCTGCCGTTCTTACGGAACGTTCTGGAAGACGCGCATTAACACGGCAGTGACTACGAGGGGAGAAAAGCGATCGACCGGGTCCCGGAAACCGGGTGCGGAGGGCTGGTCCCCTGCAGGAGGTGACTTGCAATGTGAGAGGTGAAAATAGGGAGTAAGTGCCAGGCGAACGTCGGGGGGACACATGCCCAGGAGCTCCGGCTCGGGGGCGGGTGCCTCTGCTCGCAGGCTCCCGGGGACCCGGCCGGGGGACCGGCCGGCACGGATGCAGGCGCGTGCGCCCCACGTCACTCCCCAGCCTCCTCGAGCAGACCGCAGCCCACGCGGGGCCCAGACGCCTCTGCGCGACGGTGGACACGACGCCGCAGTGGGGCTCGGACTGGCGGAAGTGACTTACAGCTGCCGAATTTCAGGGGGCAGGCGTGGGCGTCCATGGGGAAGTCCTCCAGCTGCATGGGGCACTCCGCGGAGATGGTCAGGCTGGAAGGGAGAGACGAAGACCGTTAAGCGACGCGCGAACCCCGGGGACCCGCTGGGCGGGCAGCCGCGACATCCCACAACGCCACCCGAAGTCTCTCACTTATTATTTTCGTCGCCGTCTTCCACGGAATTGCCCAGACCGTCCCACCCAGTGGCATACGCTGAGTGTCACTTAGAAACGAGGCTTTGACAAAACCCCCTCTGCACCCTGGGCCTGTCTGCGCACACAGCGCCACCTGCAAAGCGATTTGAGACGCCATCGGGGAGAATTGACTCCGCTTCCCATCCCTTAGCCAGAGGAATAGAAAATCCTGCCTCCTGACAGGGCTGGAAATATATGTATTTTCTAAAAGACTTTCTCAGCTCGAACAGACCTAAATACGGAAGGAATGTTAGTCCCAACTGTGAGCAGAAGCTGGCTGCCGTCGCCCTGTCATAAACCTGCGAAGGAGCAGAGCTGTGTTTCGATGGCAATCTTCTGGCACAGCCTGGTTATCGCTTTTAATCCAAGTCTGGTCCTGCAAACGCTAATGCCACCGTCCCTCACCGCCGTCCCCAACGACCGAAACGGCGATGGCGGTGACGGCCGCCACGTCCGTCCTCCGTGCTTTAAGCTGCACGAACGCGTCTCATCGCAACGGCACGAGGAGGCTGTGGCTCTCACAGGGGAGAGGGTCACCGCCACGAAGGGCCCGGGACGAGGACGAGAGCCCGTTATCAAGTCGTGGCCGTGACTAGAGCCGGTGGCCTTGCCCCTCTCGCCCGGGGCATGGACACGATTCTGTATTTGGACAGGGAATTCGCGGTGACGTCAGCAGCGTTTGTCCCTTCCTGTCCCGTGGAGTGCGGATCTTGTCTACGTGCTTGGATTTCTTTTCGTCCAGATTTTTCTACCCGTCGACACGTCTTCTTTTTGTCTGTGGCATGTAAGACTCCGCCTTCTGGATGCCCTGCATTAGAGCAGGGGCGTTTCCCACGTTCCGGTCTCTGCGGGACCAGGACTCCAGAGGTGGAACATTCGGTTCAGCGTGCAGGTGCGTGCGCCTTACAGGTGAGCACCTAGGCGCACGCGTGTGCGCATCCAAGCGATTAGCTATGGGCTTTTAAATTATTCCACATGATACATAGTTTTCGGTATACCTTTGCAGGCATAAACGATATACAAAAACTATCATCGCAGACTACAAAATGGGTAAGGAACGGGAATATTTCCTTTTTAGAACTGAGGGAATGAGCCTGCGAGGCGGGCATTCACTCGACGCGCGGGAAAGCAGTATTACTTTGTCTGGCCGTCAGCAAACTGGAGGGATGCTCTGGGGAGCCGATAACGGGACCGAGGGCTTAAGTGGACAAGTCTGTCCCAGAGGAAACACCGCTGTGAGCTCGGCCAAGCCTAGGGTTCCCCAGGAAGCGGTTTCCGGGGGGAGCGAGGAAGCATACAGGGCAGTGAGGCCGGGGACAGCGCACGGACGTGCACACAAGCCGTGGCCACGCGGACGTGCAGGGCTCGGGGAGGATGCTCCGACGGGGACAGGGTCTCTGCTGGCAGAGGGTGGAGGTCGGTGTTTGGGGGACCCTGGCTCGGTCAGTGGGAGCAGTGAGGGGGGCAGCGGGGCTTCGGGTGGCCCTGGCTCCTCCTTTCCTTCCCTGCGTGGCCACCGGCGTGTGTCCACACAGGGACCGGAAGCCGCCCTTCCCGACCTGGTGGTCTCAGCTCTTACGGAGCAGAGCGCGTGGCGTCTGCTTTATTCCGGCCATCTGGCCTGAGGGCGGCTCCCTCTGGAACCACCGCCCTGGCCGGGGACGCCCCGCGAGGCGTCCACTGTCAGCAGGTGGCCAGGGAGTGTGCAGAGCGGGGGACCGGAGTTAGCTGGATCTAAAGGCTCATTTAAAGAAAAAGTGATCGCGGTAAAAACATAAAAAATACAGCGATTCTACAATTACCATCTCCATAAATGCTACGATCAGAGCTTCGCACGTTGTCCCCGTTTTAACAGACCCCGTAGAATTAGGATTTGAAACACTGAAAACACCCACCTGTAACACTGTCTCTTCTCTAAGGATGGAACCGTGATCTACACAAACCCCAGGAGGAGAGCGACGTTTACATTTCCGGTCGCTTTAAAAACGTTTCCAAAATGGCCCATGCGTTTAGAATACTCAAAAAATATCTCTAGATGAGGGGCCGTCCATTCGCAGGGTGCCCGAGGGACAACCAGCCCCTTCCCACAGGACCGAGACCAAAGCGCTCCACGGAACATGGACTGTGACAGCGCATGACAGCCGCCGGCCACCGACCCGAAACCTCACTTTCCAGATGGAAACGAAGCCCCCGAGGTTAAGGCACGCGCCTGCCTCGGTCACGACAGTTTTTTCGTCCCGTGAGCCTTTGTGACGATTACGGCGTAAGAGGAACACGTATGTGCAGAAACAAAGATTTTATACACTGTCGATGCTAAATTGGTATCAACTCGAACTAGACTGTCGTAAATTTAGATGTTCGTTTCAGTCCCCAGAGGAACCATTAAGAAAATGACTGAAAAACATGCAGAAGGAATAAGATGGGCATTGAAATGGAACTAGAAACAAGTCAGACGCAGAGGAGGCAAAGACGGAAAGACTGAGGGACACGAGACACACAGAAGGCGAGTGGAGCCACCTCCTCGGAGACGCTGTCCCCACACGGTCACGTCCCGAGCTGCCCGGTCAGCGCGGCCACACAGAGACTCGCAAGGATGTAGGGCGGCCCATAACTTCCCAGGTTCTTTTTAAATACTCACAAAAAAAGAAAGCAAATAGCAAAAAGGCCACGTCCTTCCTCGTCAATTATTTCGTCAACTACAAATGGAAAAAAACGCTTCACTTACGAGGCAGAATCGACAAAGAGACACGAACTGACTATACACTGCCTGCGAGGGCCTCGTTTTAGTTTCGGAAAAAGAAACGGGTTGACATTTGAAGGGTGAGAAAAGTCACTCCATCCAAACAGAAAAGTGACAAAAGGCTCCGCCTATTAAGAATATATGGAAATGATACGTGAACCTCAGAGCGGAACCTCGAAAACATACGGGGTCAAAAACCGACGGAACTCAGAGCAAACCAGACAGTGCTCCGGCTCTAGGCGGAGACATTCATGTCTCACTTTCAATAACGGTTAATAAAACTAGACCAAATCGTGACAAGAAAACCGGACGTTTAAACCGCACTGAGCCCCTCTATGGGCGCGTGGAAGGCTGTCCGGGGCAGATTCTCTGCTCAGTCACAAAACAAGACTCAGTCAACTTAAAAACACCGAGATCTGCCAAAGCATCTCCTTTGACGGCGACGGAATGAAACCGGAAATCGGTGACGGAAGGAACGTGGAAGATTTCGCACCGTGTGCAGATCAAACAATATACTTTTAAATTACAAATAATAAATCACAACAGAGATTAAAAAAAAAACAAACAAGTCTCAGTTCGGTCGTCTACGAAATGTGGCAAAATACACGTCCAGCCTCCTTGTGGGACAGCACCTGCCACCTCCGGGGGTACACGTGACAGGTGTCAGCATCCTTCCTAACGAGAGGGTATGACACGTTCCTGGTGGGCAGGGCCGTGGGGGGGCCCGGGGTGAGGCTGCGAGGCGGCGTGTTGTCACGGGGGTGCGCACAGAGCACCCCTGAGGCCGAGGCGCCACCCACGCGGTGTGGGCCCAGGAGCTGTGCCTGCGTCATCTCACCGGGGCTCTGCTGACTCGAGGAGCAGGCCACGGGGACCGTCGGATGTGGCAGAGGGGGCCCGAGACGCTGAGAGATGACGCCTCGGGCAGAGGGGACGCACACCGGCCTGTGTCACGACAAGGTTGGTGTCCCGGGCACATTGCTTGTCCCGCCTTCAGGAGGACAAGGGTTCAGAAGAATCGCGGTGACAGGTGACCCGGGGAAGCCTCTCCTGGCCCCTCCCCCAGCCCGAACAACGTCTCATGATTCTCTGCCACGTCCCTTTCCTCCTCCGCATCTGACGCCAGCGGGAAACGGCATCTTCTACGTTTATACTTAACAGCGTTTATCGACCTTACTAATATCGCCAGAGGCATTGTGGGAAAAAAATTCGATTCGATTGGGAAAAAAGTAAGTTCGATAATAACAATGAGATTAGCAGCGTCGATTATTTTATTTTTGGATGTCTAGTCCCACGTTTATAGTCTATCGCATCGCTCGTACTTTTAGAATTTGTTTTTTTTAAATCACCATTATTAAGAGATTGTAGGGGAGAGACATCATCACAGGGTAGGAGACCCCAGCCTCTGTCCCCGACGAAGAGCGATACTGAGACAGCTCCAGGGTCCGCTTAAGAAACTTCAGCCACGCAGCAGAAGGAAAGCCTGCGCATCACGCGCAGGGACGGAAGGGGGACACCTGCGCGTCCCCCGCCCGTGGTGGCACCGCTCGGAGCCGGGAGGGAGCGCCCGCTGGAAACAGCTCCCCTCCCCAGGAAAGTAAGAGCTTCGGTCACAGCCACCCCGAGTCACACAGCGACGGCCGGGAGCACGGAAGGGACGCAGGGACCCGCAGCCACGCGCCACGAGCGACAGGGGTCCACGGTGACCTGCTGTGTGGACAAAACCAGCAGCTACTGCCGCCGAAGGAACCGGAGGCCAGCGCGCCCTCCACGGAAATCCCGCAGACGCGTCCGGCTTCGGGCCCACGAGTATTTCACTGACACCAGTTTCCCGAGTCCCTCTCTGTCCCCGTGCCCCGCCAGGGCCCAGAGCCCACAGCAGCAGCCGGCCCAGGCCTCTGTGCGGCACAGGTGCAAGCCTCGGACCCGCGGCTGCAGCTGTGCCCCAGCCCGGCCCCACCGTCGTCTCCACTGCCGGCACCGTGTCATGATCCACCGGCGCGCAGACATCCAGGGTCCCTGCAGCTGCCGGCGAGGCCGCAGTCGGCCCCTGCCCTGGCCGCTCGTCCTGGCCTCAACTGCTTCGTGTGCGCCCCGCACAGGCACCTGCACACCGCC